GAGAGAGACCGTTACGCAAAACATGGTTTTATCAGTAATCAGTTTTGCCAAGTGCATGTGTTTGAAAAGCATGAATCAGGGCCCCAAAATCAGGAGATTGTCTTGAAAATCAGGAGATTTTCAAAGAGCAATCTGGGCTTTATTTGCTTTTGGATTTTGAACCATTAAAGTTTCACAGGTTCATGCTTTTCTCTGCAACTGTGAGGGCTAGAAAAAATATGTTTTAAAAATGAAAGCAGTGATTCTAATGGAATAACGCGACTCCAGCAGCTGGGGATTCAAAAAATGTATTGTGAGATTGGTAATAAAACCACAAGAGTGGACAGTGCTGAGTAACAAAGGGAAGGAAGAGTTTTATTGGTCGACAGTGTCCCTTTGTTGTTACCATTTCTGAGTGTGATCCTTCAGCTAGAAATCGTACGGCTTTACTTCTCCCTTTTTTGGACGCAATACATATTAATCCATCCCTTGGTTCTTGTTGGCTTTTTTAAATGGGAATGCTGCGAGATCTGTTTTGAAGTACTGAGTGCCTGTGCTGTCATCCATCACTTTGTTTTTCTGTTTCCCAGTAAGTTCACCTCCCTCCCCCTTCTTCTCTCCTGACGTGTGCAGGATCAGAACATGAGACGCTGTTTGCACTCCGGACGTGCCTGTTCTGAGGGGGCAGGTTAAAGGGACACTACACAAATACACAACCCAGATTAGATTTTGAATTTGTTCCCCATTCTTAACAATCAAAGGGGGTGTTACATGGGCAACTCCTGGTTTTAAAGCTTTCAAGCTCCCCACAGCAGCCAGGTCTCGGCTCGGGTGCTGATTTTGATGCAGTAGACCGCTCTGGCCTGTTCCTGTTGTACCATCTCCCTGATTAACTGAAGGGCTGATGTGTTGCTCTCTCTCAGGTCACTTCTCCCAGGTTTTGTGCAGGGACGTGGAGAGCAAGGGAGCTGTTTGGAAGGAGTGGCGCTCTGATTTATTGGAAGACGTTCTGTATGTCTCTTTATCTTCTCCTATTTGGCCATCCCTTCCTGAGGTTTTTTTGCATGGCACATTCCAAGCCCTCTGCCAGTTAAGAATGGAGGAAAAGCGTTTCCCCCTCAACCCCAGATGGCTCCTATTGGTGCTTTAATACGTGAGCCGCCCGCTCCTCCCAGTCACCCGCTGACCAGCAACGGTTGGTTGTGGGAGGGTGTGAGTGCGCTCGCCTTTCCCTGCCTATCTGACCGCTGCAAATTTAACACGAGGCTCTGATGACTTCCAAAGAAAACCAGCACCGCAAAGCTCCCACCGGCTCTGCACAAGGGAGGTGTCCTGGGCTCATGTAGTAGAGTTACTCCCTAGGCGTCGTAGAGCTCCTGGCATTAGAACTGGGCAGAAAACCATTTTCTTGTCCTGGGAAATTTTTCACTATTTTGAACCCTTTTCCTGGCTCGAATTAGTCAAAATCTTGCATCTTTTCACAAGCTGCAACACTCCGCCCCCCCCCCCCCCGAATATTTTGCATGGGATCAATGAAAACGTTTTGATTTCAACCTTTTTAAACGTCTTTTTTTCTATAAATTATCGTACATTTCCAAACGAAAAGCCGCTTGGAGCTGAAGAGAACATTTCGTTTGGAGAAATGCCCAAACAGGATGCGCTGGCAATTTTCACCCCCCCCCCCCCCCACTCCCCAAACAGGGAAGTCACCAGACCATGCCCTTTGTTTTTGACAATTCAGCATTTTCCAGTGAAAAAATGGTTTCATTGACGAATTCCCAGTGAGCTCACCTGACAGTGCTGGCTCCGTCTGTGCCCATCCCCCAGAGGCGAGCAAGATCATTGTACGCTCACTGCCCTAGGACGCTCCATAGTAAGCAGCAGGCTTCCTTCTCCCTCCTCCACCCCTCGTCCTTAATATAGTTCCCCCAGCTCTTCTCTTAGGCTGGGATGTGCCATTGGATCCTGAAGCCACCATAGTCCCCCTCTTTCCTTCCTTCCTGCTGCTCTCTCCCCAAAACCAGCCTTTGGGTACCTGCTACGTGGTCACCTTGAGATGAATGAATTGTGGGCCACACACTGTATAGGAAGGCTGCAGTTGTAAATGGTTAATTATATGGTCCATGACGGGGGCTTCTAGGCACTAAAATAATACAGATGACAATAGAAGCATGTTACAGGCGTTAGTTTCTCTTTTTATAAGTCACCTGGAGCAGGCGATTAATAGAAGGCCTATAAATGGGTTAATTTTGTATAAACTATTCAGAAGAACGTTCAGACTGCAAGGTCAGGATGTGGCAGGTTTAAGATGGCCCCCATGCAACCCTAATTCAGCCCCCTCTTGGGCATATGCATTGTGGCATTAAAGATGGTTGAATACTATTCCCTCTACCCCTTTAGTACAGATCTGCTCTAGGGACGAATCAGGGTTGGGGAGCGAAGGAGGCTACCTGTGCAGGACCTGTGCCTCTTTTGCATAAGGCCCCGCGGGTCTAGAACCTGGGTCTGAAGAGCTGCTAGCCAGCTGGACTTTCCGTGGTCCGCTGTGGACACAGACCCTGGGACGTTCCGCCTCAAGGATTTGACAGACAGCAGCCTCGTGGCTTCTGATTGACTCCCTGCCCTATGTAAACCCACGGGGCGTTCCATGAAGTGTCCCACCACCAGTGTGGCTCTCCTGTTGGTGCCATGATTATTCCTGCTCCCGAACGCCTGGCTTTGACCTCAGCTTAATTTGGACTTTGCCTCCTGACCTGGACCCTGAAACCTAACTCGGAGTCTGACCGTTGGTATCTACCCTGGCCTGGAACCTGACTACGAACTCCTCTGCTACTCCTAGGCCCAAGTTTGCCCCTGCTCTGACCCCTGGTCCTGACCGCCCATGTTAGGATCCCGACGGTTTGTTGCAGAAGTTGGAAGGTGTGTAATGAACGAAGATGGTCTCTTGGGTAAGGCAGCTGAATGCTGCCCTGGCAAATTGGATTCTTTTCCTGCCTCTGCCACCGAGTTCTTATGGGGTGCCGGGCAAGTCACAGAAACTCAGCTTTTCCCAGTGGCCACTAACTGTGTGTTCCTCATTTTCTGGGTGCTCAGCACGAAACACATGGGGCTGGATTTGCAGAAGTGCTGAGTGCGCACAGCCGCAGCGGAGGTAGAAGGAGCTGTCCTTTGAACTCGTGCTATGACGGCGCGAAGGACTCTGGAAAACCGTGGCCTTGATGTCCCAGAGTGGGCACCCAAACTTAGTGGGTGCTTGGCCTTAATCTCTGTGCTTCACTTCCCCGTCTTTAACAGAGGGTAATAATCCCACCTACTCTCGGGTGTGGGATGCAAATGAATGCCTGTTTGTAAAGCACTCGGATGCCATGGTGAGAGAGCAGCATAGAAATGCCCCAGGAGGAAGTTAATAATCTTGTACTCAATGCAGGGTTTAGAAGAGCTGTGCTTAAAACAGGCCTCGGGCCACACACTGAAGGAGGAAGATGGAGAAAAAATAGCGAATAACTCTTCAGTTACTGAACGAGGCAGGGTCCTGTCGGGGGGTAATAGTCTGGGATCGTGTAATTAAAGACTGTGTCGTAACGCATGTGCCCAAGGGGGCTGGATCAACCTCAGACCTGGCGGCTTTTAACGTTGGAATGCTGGAACGTTAAGACAGTGTAAATGTGTTAATTCAGGTTTCTTTGTGATTTCCTAAGTTTTATTTTTAAAAGCCCCAAATTCATCTGGAACCATATTGATCCCCAACTTGGTCAAGAGCAGGCTGTGGACCTTTTGATCCACAGCACAGACGTCTGCCACTTGAGCTAATGGAATAATAACAGCAGTAGTAGGCTGTCATCCTCTACGCAGGCTACGTCTACACTACCCGCCTGAATCAGCGGGTAGAAATCGATCTCTCGGGGATCGAATTATCGCGTCTCATTTGGACGCGACAATCGATCCCTGAATCGACGCTTGTACTCCACCAGCGGAGGTAGGAGTAAGCGCCGTCGACGGGGGAGCCGCGGAGGTCGATTTGCCGCCGTCCTCACAGCGGGGTAAGTCGGCTCCGATACATTGAATTCAGCTCCGCTATTTGCGTAGCTGAATTTGCGTATCTAAAATGGACCCGCCCCGTAGTGAGGACGTAGCCGCAGAGTCACCACTAGAGGGGAATGAGACACACACTTTCCGGTGGGCTTTGCAGATGTTTGCTGACAGCAGGGGAATGGAGAGATTCAGGACTCTGGGTACAATTATAGGTTTTGGAGGGGGAATGTGCTGTAGTGGTTCCGCTTCCACCCCAAACCCTGTCTGTGTCCCCCAGCTCTCTCTCCTCCTTCCCACTCCCACCCATCCTGGCTCCTCCTCCCCGACTTCTAGCTCCTTCCTCCCACTTCTTTGTCCTCTGCGTTTGAATCAGGTGCTTCCTCTGTCTCCTCCTTGTTGCCTGGATGCCAGAAGGGGGAGCATGAGAGTAGACAGTCTCCCTTGGCTCAGTTCTGGTGCCCGATGCCACAGTGGCCACCAGCAGCGAGAGGAGCGATTGCAGGGAAAGTCCTGCTCAGCCCCTGCGGCCCTGGGATGGAGCATCTCAGTTGCTCTGTGGGGATGGCGTAGTTGCAGTCCAGTTGCATGTCGGAGCCGTGAGGGGCTAGAGCATGCTCAGTGCAGATGGCATCTTGGGAGAATTTAGCTGCCAAACTTTAACAAGTCTGTCCTAGTGTGTGTGAACTGAGAGTCCATCTGTGGCTCCCTCCCCCCCCGGGCTTATAATTTGGCCAGATTTGGGTGAATTTTCAGAGGGATGGCAAAAGACACGTCCCTGGCGCCAGGGTGACACCTCCCTCCCCGCCGCCAAGTTTCAAGTCCTTGCTCCAAAGCAGAGGCACCAGAGCTTCTCAAGAAAACACGGGGAAGAATTTATTTTTTTGCATGGGCAAAATGTATTTAGCTGCAACTTTCAAACAATAATTCCGCCTGAGGTGCGGATGTAGGACACAGCCTGGAAGCGACTTCTGGGGTCATCAAGACCCCTCCCGTCTCAGGGGCAGGGAGCATATCAGCCCGAAGGATTTAAGTTTAGGAAAGTTACAAGCAACTGAAAACTGGGTCTTATAGTGCAAAGTGTTGGGCAGCTTTAACTAGAGGTGGCACTACCAGCTGTGCGTATGATACCCTGAGTATAAAGTGTGACCAAACTTACGTGAGTGATGGAATGAAAGAAGACGGGACTTGGTTGGCGTACTTTTAGTTTTAGCCATATTAGCGTGCAAGTGTTTTTGAGCACTTGTATGTGGCCGTCTTTGAATGTACTATCTTGTAGTCTCCTGCTATTCTGGTTTGTATTTTGTTAGCGCTTTCACGACTCTTAATACAGAAGAGATGTGCGCATAATTCCAATTTATTTGCTCGCATGTAGTGGAGGATAAAGAGCATTCATCTGTTGACACAGGGAGAAGGCCCGGCAGCGTTTCAAGGGAGTATAATTGCATTTGATTAGTGCAGAGAGCTTGGCAGAGCGGATCTTCTGAGACTTCACCCTGGTGCTGATCTTTCAGAGTCAGAGATCAGGGACACGAGGGAACATCAGAGGCCCGACTCTGCAAATCTTCACACAGTTCTACAATGTAAGTATAATTCCCTGAAATGCTGGGGCGGCTCATTACCTTGCAGCTCGCACTCCAGCTGTGAGTCTAGCATTCGGTGGGTTTGTTAAGGAGGAGCTGAAGGCGCAGAGTGGCACCTCACTGTCCTTCCACATCTTATGTACTTTAAAAAAAAGTTTAGCCTGTTTTTCTTAACTTAGAAGATGTTGCTCATAGAAAGTCCCTGAAGAATGGATTGAGCCGCTATGTAACACAGAGAATAGAAGATGGGACCTGACGTTTTCCTCTGGACTATCCTCTTTTTTTTTTAATTAATGCTAAAAAAAGGGGAGCTGGCTCTGGTTTCAAATAAGTCTCCAAGCTGGGTTTGAGAAGCCCTTGAGCTAATTCTCGGGTGCACATTGGCTGAGTTGATATCAGTGGGGATTGGTTGCGGTTGGTCCTGCTTTGAGCAGAGGGTGGGACTAGATGACCTCCTGAGGTCCCTTCCAACCCTGAGATTCTGTGATTCTATGATTAATTGATTCAGTGCTTCTGGCCTCTGAACGTGGGCACGTTTGGGTGTTGGAGTTCCAGTTTGGCTGCCCTCCAAGTAAAAAACCACTTTTACTGGAAAAATGAAGTGAGCTACGCAAGATGGGTCCCGGTGACATCACAGGTAGATGCGAGGTGATTGGTCATCCCTGAACTAGAGCCACATGTGGTGATGTGCTAGGCTCTGGAGCCAATCTGCAAGCCAGGAGCGGGTCTGGTGACTCTCAGGAGAGGTATATAAGCCTTGCAGGAGAGGTAGCAGCTCAGTCTGCCCAGTGTCACTTCCTGGGTTGGACCTGTCCCCGGCCTGATAGTGGTGACAGACTCTGCATGCCTTTGCCCGCTCCAGCCCTACCTATGCCTTGTTCCGACTCTGCTCTTGACTCCTGGCTCCGGCTCCAACCTCTGGTTCCCGGGCTGGCTGCCACCACACTGACCGCTGAGCCGGACTGCCGCTGCTCCAACCGCTCCGCCTGACCCTCCATGTCTCAGGTTCTGGCAGTAGGGTCGCAATCCTACGCATAGAATTACCCATGGTTCCAAGTAACTAGGGGTGAGGGGAAGGTAGATCTACTGGGAATCACCGCAGGTCCAAGGGTAGCCTGGTGATTAAGGCGCTGGAGTGGGATTTAGGAGATTGGGATTCACTTCCACATGTCACTTAATCCTACACCTCCATTTCCCATCTTTGAATGGGATCGTATTCCCTCTGGCTGTTTGGACTGTACGCAAGGACCATCTCCCACTCTGTCTCTACACAGCGCCTAGCCCAATCTCTGAGGCCTCTGGGTGCTACTAGAATATTAATGCTGGTCCCAGCGATATGATGTAGGTCCTCAAGTGTGCATCTAACCTAAACAGCAACTCCAGGGGAGGGAAGTAACTCACGGACTCTACCATTAGACTGGCTTGCTAACGTAGAGGAATGTTCTACCGCCCGCTGATCACTGCGTTATAGACCTGCCATTTTAAAGTGATCTGTGACCATTAGCATTTTAGCCCACAGTGATGGAGTTCTGGGGAATGGAAAAGCCGCTTGGGGCAAGTCTTGCCTGCTTTAGAGTTAATGGAAAAATAAGCTGGTTAGCCTTCGGAATGTAATTCACAGCCCCTTACAGGGCAGCTGTCTTCAGGTATGTATTGTTGCAGTGACTGTCGGAAAGAACAATACAAAGAGTTCCCATTGTGGGCGGACGCGGTGCATGGGCGGATTGTGTTTGAGCTGAGTCAATGTCACATATGCTAATAACAGTGGTGTGGGAGACGGTTTCCAATGGGGAGCATTCACTCTGATTGTAAGAGTTGCGGATATACTTATGAATGAAGCTGCGTAGCTGACTGGCCTTGCAAGGTTTTACACTTGGCTTGATGGCATTTCTCTGCTTGTAATGCAATAACGTTTGAATGCCACATCCAATTAATTCCAAAATTTAAGGGAATGTTCCAGGCATCAATGGCCAGAACTCTAATGACATTTTTGGGGAGGGGAACTGAAAGTGGAAAATGGGGGACATCCGGAGGAGCCTCTGGCATTTAGCTATCAGAGCTATTGGCTTCTGCCACCTCTGTAATTATTGGTTGATGGCAACCATTAGCACATTCCCACATAACAACCTCTCCTTTTAGCCTTGCCGATTCTCCCAATAGAACCTAAAAGTGTTGACACTTGGTTGAAGAGAACGAAAGAAGAATAATATCTAACAAATGGAAGAAAGGGGAATTTGATAGTAAGGAATATAAATCAGAAGTTAGGACTTGTAGAAAATTGATAAGGGAAGCAAAGGCACACAAGGAGAACTCTATGGCCAGCACAGTTAAGGACAATAAGGAGTTTTTTTGAATATATCAGGAACAATAAGAATCCTGACAATGGTATTTGTCCATTACTAGAGGGAAATGGTAGAATTAACAATAATAATGCAGAAAAGGCAGAAGTGTTCAATAAATGTTTCTGTTCTGTATTTGGGGGAAAAACAGATGATATGGTCTCATCCTATGGGGATGATAACACTCTTTCCATTCCAATAGTATCGGTGGAGGATGTTAAACAGAAGCTACTAAAGTCAGACATTTTTAAAGCAATAGGTCCTGATAACTGGCATCCAAGAGTTTTTAAAGAGCTGTCAGAGGAGCTTGTTGGACCATTAATGTTGATTTTCAATAAGTCTTAGAATACCGAGGAAGTTCCAGAAGACTGGGAGAAAGCCAAGGTTGCACCAGTTTTTAGAAAGGGTAAACTGCATGACCCCAGGTAGTTCATGACGTGATAAAAAACCTAGAATGCTGTCAAATTACCATAATACACATTAAATGGATTTAAAACTGGCTGATTGATAGATCTCAAAATGTAATTGTAAATGGGGAATTGTCCGCAAGCAGTGGGGTCTCGCAGGGATTGGTTCTTGGTCCTACGCTATTTAACATTTTTATTAATGACCTAGAAGAAAACATGACATCACTAATAAAGTTTGCAAATGACTCTCAAATTGGGGAAGTGGTAAATAATGAAGAGGACAGGTCATTGATTCAGAGCGATCTGGATCGCTTGATAAACTGGGCGCAAGCAAACTGTGTATTTTAATATGACTAAATGTATACATCTAGGAACAAAGAATGTCGGCCATACTTACAGTATGGGGGACTCTAACCTGGGAAGCCGTGACTCTGAAAAAGATATGGGGGTCGTGGTGGAGAATCAGCTGAACACGGGCTCCCAGTGCGACGCTGTGGCCAAAAGAACTAACGTGACCCTCGGATGCGTAAACGGGGATCTTGAATAGGAGTAAAAAGGTCATTTTACCTTTATATTTGACACTGGTGCTACTGTTCCTGGAAGACTGTGTCCGCTTCTGGTGCCCATAGTTCAAGCAGGATGTTGAGCAATTGGAGAGGGGTCAGAGAAGAGCCATGAGAATGATGAAAGGATTGGAAAACTCACCTTACAGTGAGAGCTTCAAAGAGCTCAATCTATTTAGCTTAACAAAGAGAAGGTTAAGGGTTGACTTGATTAGTCTGTAAGTATCTGCATGGGGAACTAATATTTAATACTGGGTTCTTCAGTCCAGCAGAGAAAGGTGTAGCACAATCCATTGGCTGGAAGTTGAAGCTAAACAAATTCAGACTGGAAATAAAAGGCACGGTGTTAACGGTGAGAGTGACTAACAGTTTACCAAGGGTCATGGTGGGTTCTCCATCACTGGATTTTGAAATCAAGACTGGATGTTTTCCTAAAAGCTCTGCTCTAGGGATTATTCTGGGGCAGGTCTCTGGCCTGTGCCATACCGGGATCAGACTAGATGCTCACACTGGTCTCTTCTGGCCTTGGCATCTATGAGAATAAAAATGGTGGTGGGAAGGGGGCACACAGATCCCCTGGCATGGGGCAGAGCGGGAGGGCTGCAGGGAGTCCCTAAAATAGATGGGGATGAGAGGATGACAACAGGGAACCTGTGTGGGGTGGGATGGGGGAATTGAGGGATGTAAGGAGCCCAGATGGGCTTCTAATGGAACAGGTGACAAATATGGGTTCTCTTAAAAGCTTATTCCATTCCATAGCTCTTAGTGAATAAGAAAGCTGGGTCTAGCGGTTTCTGGACTATCCTTGCCTGTCCCGAGGCAGTACTCTTGTGAGAGTGCCTCGAATCCTCAACCGGATTGGTCTCTGTTCAAACCAAGGTACAAACATGGCAAATGGCCTTCCCTGTCCTACAGCGCTTACACTCCTAGAGTAACACAGAAAGCTACGGTCGGTTAAAAACATTCCCATCCAGCTGGTTGTTCCAGCTAAAGTTATGGTGTGGTGTGAACCAGTCCCAAAACTGAATGCAGGTTTGCTGGGCGAAGTGTAACAAAATACATGAGAAAAATTGAGGGGCCCCTCCCCTTTTGTTTATAATCACGGAGCAAGTTTTAGTTTGATTTCTGATGTCTAAGAACAAAGGAATAGGATTTGATTGAAATTTGGACTCTAAAAAAGCTGCAACATTTGCAACGTATTGTGTCTCTGGCTTGATACCTTTAACTGCTGATATGGTGGCCTATAATGTGGGGAGAGAAATCTATTGATTGTGATTTGAATTTATTTTTCTTAACCAGGGCTTGCAGGTTAGCCAGGCAGAATATTTTCCGTAGAAGGCAGAATATGTATTCCTAAGTATCTGAGTGTTTCTGAATGAGAGAGCAGGATTGTGGGAATGTTCACAGTGAATTTCAGCCTACTGGATTTAAGGAAATAAATGTATACCCCAAAATCGGTGGCGTAGGGGATTTCTGTTGTCCTCCGTGGCAGGAAGAGATCTCAGCTTTTGACACAAGTGCTTTGTTTGACATGCTCAGTCGAAAACTCTTGGGAGCGCTGAGTATATTGCTGGCACAAAGGCTTGTTTGGGAAAGTTTTTGATCTGTGTAAATGCCTTGGAACTCTTTCAAGCCACACAATTTAATAGCCAACAGCAAGCACAAGGGCAAAAACTGGGAGTGGGAGGAGG